ATCCACCCCTACAAAGTCCATTAGTCCGGATCGAAAACATGGTGGATACTGAAAATCCTGCGCGACCCTGAGTACTTCATACCTTGGGAATTATGGGCATTCTAGTACACTAAGGGAATGCAAAAACCCTAAACCCTAATTTCTACCTAGACCCCCCAAGTACCTTCTATAGACCCTAAGTATCCCCAAATAGAAGCTACATAGACCCGATTTTAGGGTACTTGGGGGGTCTAGGTAATATCAACAGTATTTAGGTAAAGGTGGCAGCCCAAAGTCGTGCAGAGTAAGCAAACCACGAATCGACGAATGGAGAGGCAAACCCTACCTGGACCCTCGATGGTTTGGGGTTTAGGGGTTTAGGGTTTAGGGTTTAGGGGTTTAGGGTTTAGGGCATAAAGGGCTACCTGGACCCTGGATGTCCTTCCTTTTTGGGGCTCTGTCCTACGAATTGATAAGGTATATCCCCCCCAAAGGCAACACAATCAGGGTCCAGGAAAACCCTATTTATATCCTAAACCCTAAAACACCCTATGAATATCCTAAACCCTAAAACTGCTTCGACTAGACTTTGCATGGCATGTTTCTTATTGATGCTCAGGGATAACCCCTAAACCCTAAACTCTAACCCTAAGCCCTCAAGCCCATATTATGAACTTATCATTGCTTAGGGTCCCCAAATCTCCATAATTTCAAACTTTCAAAACTTCCAAATCCAAAATCCAACCCCAAACCCTAAATAATGGTAATAAACTCTAAACCCTACCGTCCCTCCCCACTCACCATGAAGCACCAGTAAGGTGTGGTAGAGGCATGGGGAGAAGATAAGATTGCCATAAATTGGGTTTAGGGTTTCTGGTTTAGGGTTGGGGGTTTAGGGGGCCACTAGATACTATACTCATTGTAAGGATCCCCGGAAAGGGGCCCAAATTTGGAAACTCCCATGTGGCTTCGTATGAGGCTTACATTCGGGCGATCTTGGGGAACCGTTTTGGGTGCATGAACTTACGGGCAACGCACTGGCCAAATTGGTAAATATACACAGCCAAAAACCGTATTAAAAAAAAAACTCATGCATCCAAAACACCTACCCCTAAACCCTAAACCCTGATCCCTAACTCATGAAATCGTGTACTGGAAAGCAACACATCCTGGAGCACGCGCTCCAGGGTAGCCAGCTTGAATAAGTGCAATCCACCTTGATGATCAGTTTAGGGTTCAGGGTTTAGGGCTTAGGGACTAGGATTTAGGGTTTAGGGCTTAGGGTCTAGGGTTTAGGGTCTGGGGCTTAGGGTTTGGGGATTAAGGCTCAGGGTTTAGGGTTATCAGGGTCTAGGGCTTAGAGTTTAGGGCTTAGGGTCTAGGGTTTGGACTTAGGGTTTAGGCTCAGGGTTTAGGTTTGAGGGCTTAGCGTCCAGGGTGTAGGGCTTAGGGTTTAGGGCCTTATGGATCAGGGTTTAGGGCTTCGGGCTTGAGGTTTAGGGATTAGGTTTAGCTGCATGGCGTGCAAGTTTCAGGTGAGAGAGAAGGGGAGGGGGGCGTAGCAAGTCATTCATACTGGAAATGACGGGGACTTGTGGGAAGTATAGTATATTAAGTCCTTATGACCCTAAACCCTTAACTAAACCCCCCAAAAAATGTCGCGACCTAATTGCCAAGTCCCCCCGACACTCAAAGTACATCACCACACAATCCAGGGCAACTACAACCGTCCTAAGACTGCGGATACGCTCTCCTCATGTCCCACGATTGCGTAAGTCCTAAATACCTCAACCCCCCCAAGGATCTTCCGCTTTAAGGTTTCAGAAAAGGGCTTCCATTGGGAGCTGAAGCCGTGTGGGCAAAGCGGAAACCCTAAACCCGTCGTGACTTCCTGCTGCATAAATGGGGCAACGTAGGGCTGAGAAGTGGAAGTCGTGATTTCTCAAACCGAGCTATGGCAAAATCCAAAGCTGGAAAAATGACAAGAAAGTTGAATCCTGCATTCTATAATGGAGTTATATTGGGATAATGGAAATGGAAACTATAGGGATCATAGGNNTAGGGTTTATATAGGGTTTATATATCCTGCATGTTTGTATTTCGATTTGAGTGCTTTTTTGGTAAACGTCTGGGATCTTCTTTTTCAGGTTACCCCATCGAATTGCCTTTCCTTGCCTGTCGTGCAAAATCAGGCGGTTATGAGGACCGAAGCTCCTAGCTCCACGCAGCGTACTGGTGCTTCAGGGAGTGTGGGAATGAGTATATGGGGATTATATCTGGGTTGGCCCCTAAAACCC